ATGATAATAGGTTTGTGTATGCTGGTGAATTAGTCTGCACCCATCCAACCATCTTTAGCTCACATTAATCACACCCTTTTACTCAAAACACTACAACTCTGATCTAAACCAATTAAGCCTATGCTGTTTAGACAAAGAGATTAATACAGCTCTGGAAAGCATAACCTTTGGCCATAGAGGTGTCTTAAGATAATGAGCTCGGTTCAGTGGGCTGGCTTTGTGGAGAGGTATGTTTTGGGAGAAGATATCTATTTGCAGATTCTAAATCAGCAGGAAAAGAAGTGCACGCCAGCAAACCATTTCTGGTTGTACACAGGCAAGTATAAAGGAGGTGATGGGAGCCCGATTTAGAGCCGATGGCTTGGAAATGCAGATCCTCTTTCCTTTGGAAAATCCAGCTGACTCTGACAAAGGAACAAAATATAAAATCCAGCAAAAGTAATTGCAGCTGTCATATGAGTCTCAAATATATAGCAGGTATGAAGCGTTGCTCGGTGTGTAATCCTTTCTGCTCTCATGGGAATGGATGGAGGACTTCACAGTGTATGTGTGTGTGTGTGTGTGTGTGTATGTGTGTGTATGTGTGTGTGTGTATATGTGTGTGTATGTGTGTGTATGTCTGTGTGTATGTCTGTGTATATGTGTGTGTATGTGTGTATGTGTGTATATGTGTGTGTATGTGTGTATATGTGTGTGTGTGTGTGTGTGTGTGTGTGTGTAGGAAGGAGCACTGGAGTAGGAATCCCATGTGTGGAGGTGGGTTTGGGGTTGAATCCTTGAGAGTTGGTACAGGCTACCGGTCTTGGTAGATGCTGAGGATTGACGGAGAAGTAGAGCCTGGTCCCTGCCTTCAACATGCATGCCATCCAGTGGGGGACAGGGACCCACGAACAAAAACATCAAGAGTGAGGCTGTGGAGAGGTGAACATGAGGTGCCTGGGAGCCCAAGTTCGGGAAACTGAGTCCACAGGTGGCCAAAGCCTCTGAGATCAAGTAACTCTGCATTGAATCTTCAAAGATACAGAAGTCTCCTGGCTGGAAAGTGTCAGAAGGATTCTAGGCAGGTAGAGAGAGCTGTGGAAGCAAAGGTCTGAAACAGCAAGAAAGGCGTTTGCCATACCTCTGAGCCCCTGGAGCGTGAAGTGTGAGGTTGGGGGAGGATGAAGGTAACACTGGTGAGGCCAGAGCATCCGGGACCATGGTTCCTAAATTAGGATGCTTGGAGATTATTTTCTAAACAATGGAAATAAAAGGAATTTAAGCGTAAGACTCAGTCTGCTCTATTTCTGGAAGGTCACCTTGGTCACACACCCCGTTGGCAGTGAAGCCCTAATCAAGTTATTTCACTTATCTGACCTCAGATTTCCCATTAGTGAAATAGGTATTTGACACTACGGTTTCTGAGGTCCTCATAAGCATGTATTAACCATGCCTTTTTCTTCTTCTTCTTTTTTTTTTTTTTTTTTTTTGCGGTACGCGGGCCTCTCACTGTTGTGACCTCTCCTGTTGTGGAGCACAGGCTCTGGACGCGCAGGCTCAGCGGCCATGGCTCACAGGACTAGCCGCTCCGTGGCATGTGGGATCTTCCCGGACCGGGGCACGAACCCGTGTCCCCTGCATCGGCAGGCAGACTCTCAACTCTGTGCCACCAGGGAAGCCCTCTTCTTTATGTTTGATGCTTTGATATGTTGGGGCCTGAGGATACTGCAGGAACTGCCCCTCCCAGGGCTGGCTAATTCCTAGAGATGACCTTTCATATGCAAACCAACCAACCCAGAATACCACCCCAAGCACCTCCTCTATTGGTCCTCACACTCCAGGCCACTATTCCCCTGCCCCAGTCACCCCAGGACCAGGGACCAGCCAACTAGGGGCAGCCCCTAGGCCCCAGAGCCTACTGAAATTATTCAAACTAGCCCATCCAAAACCTGTTCACCCTGTCACCGTTCCTTCTGTGAAACCACAACGAAAGCTCACTTTCTTCACCCCACTCCCAGCCTCCTGACTTTGGTACTTCCCAGGGGGGTCCCACCATGGAGTGGGGTGCGCCCTCCTCCCGGAATCTGTGAGCATAACAAGCTCTCTTTCAATGACAATTGTTTCCTGGTCTGTTGGCCTAAAATAAATCATAAATAAATAAATAACAATAAAACCTAGATTTTAAAATGATAAATAATAAAAAAACTAATCAAATAATTAAACCTAGATTCTAAAATACAGCAGGATTCTTTTTTTGTTGTTCTTTTAATTCATTCATTTATTCATTCGTTCAACAAAAGCTTACTGAGTAATAACCAAGTGGCAAAAAAACCATGCCAGGTTATAGACGATCTAGAGGAGAATTAGACACCAGTTTTTTCCCCTAAGAATTCATTAACTAATAATAATAAACATTATGGAGTACTTCCATGAACTTTCCTATATAAAATACAACAGGATTCTTTTTTTTTTTTTTTTTTTGCGGTACACGGGCCTCTCACTGCTGTGGCCTCTCCCGTTGCGGAGCACAGGCTCCGGACGCGCAGGGTTAGCGGCTACGGCTCACCGGCCCAGCCGCTCCGCGGCATGTGGGATCTTCCCGGCCCTCAACCACTGCGCCACCAGGGAAGCCCTACAGCAGGATTCTTGAATGCTGAGGACAAGCTGGGGTCCTGGCCAAGCCAGGTCCCAGTAGAGGGGTGTGTGCGTTTCCGGTTTCCGATTTCCACAGAGGCCCCCTGTGTACTAGCGGTAGCCTTGTGTCAAGTCATTTCAGTTCTTTGAACCTCAGCGTTCTCATTTACAAAGGCCGCATATTGGGCTAAATGTTGGCTGAGTTTTCCAGATTTGAGATTCTGTGACAGTAGAGTTACTCTCTGGGGGATCTGAGCCGAACCTGTGCCTCAAGTTTGCCAGGTGTCAGCCAGGCCTAAATTCCCCCATTCTGTCCCTCCTGATCCTACGGACACAGAGTGGGAGAAACTACCTGAAGTGCTTCATAAACTGTCAAGTGCGGTTCTGCCGGTGGCCTGCTATTAGCCTTATTGTGGAGGATGAACTGGTACCCCGGCTGTAGGTGTGTGAGACATTTAGGGCAGTGGTATATGATTTAGCAAATTATCTCTTCAGTGTGCTAAAGTGTCCGCCAGGAGTTTGCTCACTGCAGGATCAGGGAACACTAAGGCCTCGCTATATTCAATAACAGTGGCTTAATTATCATGATTATCTCGCGTTTGTATAAAGTCTTTAGTTTCAGGATCTCAAAGTACTTTATAAACATTAAGCCTCCTGGTCCCCCAGGGGAGACATTAAATTGATGCAGAGTTTGCAGGTCTCTCCTCTTCCTGGCTCGGAAGTGGTTTCCTCCCATCCAGGTGAGGAGAAGAGGGAATCTTTTCATCCGTTGTTGTGTACGTTTGACCTGAGAGGCTTAGGTTTTGTGGGTTATGGGCCAAGGTGAAAAGACTGAGCCTGGAAATAACCATGGATGGAGAGTGGACCAGACCCTGCACCTGCATTAGATTCTGTCACAGCAGTACGTACCCCCCACTTCACAGATGGAAACTGTGGCTCAGAGAGGTTGAGTTGCATACCCAAGGTCACACAGCCTGTGAGAGGTAGACACACCTAGGTGGGACCCAGATCTGTAGGTCTCGCGAAGACCAAAATTGTCATTCTTTGCACTGAACTTGCTGTTCCCCTCTCTCGCCGCCATGTGAGGACACAGCAAGAAGGCCGCTGTCTATAAGCCAGGAAGAGAGTTCGCACCAGAGCCCAGCCGCACCCGCCCTCTAATCTTGATCTTGCAGCTTCCGGGACTGTGAGAAAATAAATACCTTTCATTTAAGCCACCCAGTCTATGATATTTTGTTATGGCAGCTGGAGCTGGCTAAGACAGAAGCTGTGTAGAGCCTTTTCACATGCACAGTTTCCTTTGCTTCTCAAAAACGCCCTGTGTTGCAGGCAGTTTTACCTGAGTTCACTGAGGCTCAGACAAGGGGCGTGGCTTGGCAAAGTCACACAACCAGTGGGTGGAGAACTCTCAGGAATATCTTTCGTTTTTGAATAGCCATGCCCAGCTCAGGCCAACAGATAAACCTTGGGCATGTGAAGAGCCCTTGGTCACTCAGAAAGCGTAGCTCACCAGGATGGAGGACCCCACTGAATTATCCCAGCCCTGCAGCCTGGAGGAGGGGAGTCCTTGCATAAGTCAGTCACACTCTCTGAGCCTCAGTGTTTTCATTTGTAAAATATAGGCAATACCAGTGACTCACAGGGCAGTACAGAAGCCTGGGGAGGCCAGCATCCATTCACTAGAAGGAAATTAAAAACCTGTTGAATGAATGGGTGAATAGATGGATGGGTTAGGATGGTCTTTCTCTTCATGGGCAGCCAAGTTGTTAATAATTTGGACTCCTTTCTATACAAATAGCTATTTTTGTCATTTTCGTCTTTTTTTTTTTCAGAGGAAATGGACCTTATTGGTGATTTATATTTTGATAGCCTTATAGGGATTTTCTGAATTGCTGGAGGGCTGGAGGGGTCCATGAACTTCAGGTGTCTTTTAGCACTACCACTATATTTTTTTTAAATTTTGATCCTATGGTCTACTTCTGAGACTAACGATTTGCTTTTTAGCTTAACTGTATTTATCGATTTGCTCTAAAGACATGATCGTTGTAAGCAGCTTCCATCTGGAGGAGCTGTGAATTCGGAACTCAAGTCTTTGGAAAATACATCCATGTGGCCTCTGTGCTGGGAGGTGTCACATGCGCGTTTGTAAATATCACATCTTCATCAACATCCATTTGGTGTCATCCTGGTTTAAGTTAGAGGAGGATTCCATCAGCAAAGTGATTAGCTCCAGGGGGCAGAATTCCTTCCAGTGAATGAATACTGTTTTTCCCATTTGATACATCTCCAAATTGATGTTTCCATCTCATTGTTTTTGTATTTGTTTTTTAACTTTATCTAAAGATTTCTTTAAAATGAGAATTATTTAACAAAAGGAAAACTCCAACCACTCTCTTATGTAAAGCTAATATGACAATGCAAGTGTCAACAAGGGGGCAAGATCCGTCTCAGGGAAATCTTGAAACCTCTAAGTGGAATTTGCATAAAATAGTTCTGGTATTATTATTCACTATTCTTTCCATGACAGATATGTCAGGGCCTTGAAACCTAAAAGAACAATTATGCTATTGTATCTCTCGGAGGATTCAAGGGGTGTGTCTTTGGTGGAAAAAGTGCTATTAGAGCTTTGAAAGCAGTTAAAAGACAAGCCCAAGGGACTCTTTAGCTAGTCATTTTATAAAGAATGCCTCAGCTTTAAGTGTCTTAAAATACGTTTATTCAACTCTTACTTTCGGCTTTAAAAAAAAAAACCTACTAATAATTAATGGCTCTAGTTTTTTTTAACATTTGCATTAGCTATAAATAAAAACTCTCGATGAAGTCATTGTTGATTAAGTTAAACTCTAATTCTTATGTGATGGGACCCCTATCTTTGACAAGCTTGCGACGGATTACCTGTAAATTTGTTTTGTTTTTTTTTTTTAATTTACCTAACATTGCAGAAGCCATTGTCTTTGCCAATTATGGACCAAACCGGAAACTCATCAGGAAATCCTTCCCTTGCACAAGCTGGCTTAATGTAACATGTCTGCACATTAAACACCGAAGCATTGATAAGGCAGGTCTCATTGCAGCTGGATGTGGGTGCGGTAGGCGGTGATCCGACTTTAATTTCCTCTGAAACTTGCTGATTACGTTATTCTCCGGTTCGGCTGGGCTTCACTGAGAAAAGGCATGCCAACTTTTGATGGGAATAGTTTTGAAATTCAAGAAAGACACAGAGAAGCACAAAAATACCCCTGTCACATTGGATGATAAGTTGGTATGGAAAAGGAAGGCGTTGGGAAAATTTCAGTCAAAGTGCTGCAAAGACAGTGGGGTCAGGGGAGCTTTTGTTCAAAGGTACAAGAACTAATATGCACAGGCGCGGATGGGTGATCTGTGTTTTTAACCAGCTGTAACGTGGTGCTCATTTCACACACTTCCTAAAATCAAAAGACAATATACGTTTATTTTTGCTCACACATTCTTTCACTTCGTATTTATTTGGAGCTGGGAGCATCCCTTGAAACCATAGTTTGACTTGTTATTTTATGGATGAGCAAAGAGAGTTTCAGAGTGGGGAAAACTCAGTCCAATCATTCCATCACAAAGGGAGGAAGAGAACTGTATCTTCCAGAGTTGCAGAATTCTGGCTGGCACACGGACACCTTAAATAAAGATCACATTTCCCGTCATCTCATGCAGCCATGGGTGCCCTTGGGATAAGGTTCCTGACTCCATGGAGTACCATGCCCAGATTGGACTCCCTGACACTGCTCCATATGTGAGAGAGAAATAAAGCTCTGTCTGTTTAGGCCACTGTACTTTTGGGTCTTATCACTTGCATCCATATTCAATCTTAAACGAATAGAGTTAGTACTACAAATGCTCGCTAGGCTCCAAGCAGTGTGTGTTAAACGGATTATTGAGGCTGTTATTAATAGGCCATCCCATTCCAAGCAGGATGGCATCCAATCTGGTTGTCTCGAATACCCTGCTAGACTCGGCACCCCGTGACGGATGACTGTGTCATTCACTTAAAAATCTCAAGCACCCAGCACAGAGCCTGACACACTCAGGGGGTGCTCCATAAAATTTTATAAGCTGTCAGTGGACAAATGACACCCTGAAGAGATGAAAAGGAGAAGCTGGTCAGTGCCTCTACCACAGTGTGCCTGGGTATACTCGGTGGAGAAGTACAAGTCTAAGCCTGCTGTTTTGGCCCGACCCTACATTACCATGTGTTGTTTGATGACGAAATGATTCCTTAACATCTCATGGATTTGTCTTTCTCTCTCTGTCTTTTTCCTTTCTGCTACTGTATCTCAACATGATATAAACAGCGTAGATCTTGGCTCTTGCCAACTGCTGTTTGGTTAAAATCGCCTGTATTGTCTTGGCATGTGTTGGCGTCTTTAAATTAGCAGAGGAAAGAATTGATTTTAAAAATGGCATTTGCATTAAGGGTTATGAATGGGCAATTTGGGAAGCATGACGATATACATGGGAAGTTATGCACAAATATTATAATGAGCATAGCAGTGGGGTTTTTACTCATGAAATACACATTCTTGTACACCCACCGTGGACATATTTTATGCTGCAGAAAGTGTCTGTGTGGCACAATTCACATATCCAAGTCCAGGTAAGGTCACTCTCAATCTGGACATTTTTTGTTTTGTTTTTTTGTTTTTCTTTCAGACTTTTTGAGTTTCTTAATACCTTCTTTTTAAAAAAATTCGATCAAATGGATTTAATAAACATATATAAAACATTCCATCCAACAGCAGCACAAACATTTTTCTCAAATGCACACAAAATATCTCCTAAGATTGATTATATATTAGGTCACAAAACAAGTCTGAACAAATTCCAGCAGATAGCAAGTATAAAAGTAACTTTTTTGTTTTTTTAACTTTGTCATCATTTGGACATCATTTATTTTTATGTGATTCATGTCTGACCCCTTTAAGGATCTCAACTTAAGCAAATCACACTACACCCCCAGAGAGGAAAGCACGGCTAGGTTCCCAGATTATTAAATCAAAACTGGGACTACCTTTCTCTGATTACTTGACACCTTCATTCTCTCAACCCCCTTGGCTGTTGACCTCTTGCCTCAGCCTCTAACTGTGTGTTTGTTTAAACGCACTGGTGGCCTGATGCCTCTTCTTCTGGCTCAGGAGTTCCCTGGATTCTTAGCAACAAATTTCTTCCCTCAATTATCCATCTGACTATTGTCCACCCATCTGTTTTCTAGGTACTGTGCCAGGTGGGGGACAGAGAGATGAATAAGATGCAATCCTTCCCCTTAGAAGAGCTCACAGTTTGGTGAAGGGCACAGACAGGGAAAGAAGTTAATTCCAATATGGTGGAGTCGGGTTGGTCAAGGGAAGCAAAGAGAACCTTGATGACCTAGTAGCAGTTAGCCAGGGAACGCGCAGGCTCCTGCAGTAAAGGCAAGAGAAAGGGTAGGGATTTCAAGCAGGACACTTTAGAAAAAGTTTCAGGAAAACAAATACTGATTTATACATGCAGATCTCCAAATACTTAGCAAGACGTGTGTTTTTCATTATCATTATCGTTGTCATCATCATCATCAACATCATTGGTATGTATCCGGTAAGAGAAACTCACATCTTTGAAGAAGAGCTCAAATGGCTGTTCTGGGTGCACAGAATGTTTATTCCTGGTGATGAGCTTAACATCTATGAGTAGATATGGGGCCTGGATGGCATGTGGCAAAAGTCAATGATTATGCTCACAGGTAAGCTGGTTTATTCTCTCCTGTTTTGACTATGCAACTCTAGAAACAAGTTTCTATGTCAAAGAAATTATTAAATTTGAATACGAATCACATGCCAATGTAGAGGCTTAATTCCCTTGATTCTTGCTTCCCGCCTCCCAAATATAAATGTTTCCATTGCATGTTTACCATGATAAGTACAAGCATTGGGAATAATAATAATGACAACAGATATAGTTTTTACCTTTTGATAAGTACCACTCCAGGGCTTTTATTGCTCAGTTAGTATTCTCTCCAGCTCTTGGAGATTGGTATCATTGTTATTCCCAGTTTACAGTTGAGAAAACTGAGGTAGAAGGAGCAAGATCCCCTGCCCAAGTCCACACAGTAAGTGAGGGGCCAAGATTTGAATGCGGGCTTCTGAGTTTGGGGCCGAGCCTCTGACCCCCTGTGTACTGTGGCAGAGAGATGCTCTGATTTTGCACCTCATCTCCGTGTTACAGATGAAGGAACTAAAATCAGCAACTTTGGCCAATAACCGGCCTCTGGTTGTGCATTTGGAGCCGATGTGTGGCCCCAGGTGAAGCCAGAATGATCCTCATTCTCTTTCCCAACTGCGAGCTCCTTGCAATGCCAACAGCACATTATTACATTCACGTTAATACTGCAGATCACCTGGGCAGCTTTTATGTGGGGAGATGGGGAGATGGACTCCCAAATTAGGCTGATATTTTCCACCTGAAAAGTCTGAGGATTTGTCATTGTTGGGGCGTCGTCTGCCCTCTGTCCTCCCCTCCCGTGCTCTGACTCATCTCTGTCACTCTTTCTATTCCCAGCTTCTTTACCCTCCCAGCCCCTTTCAATCACACGACTGGGGACCCATCAGCCATCAGACTCAAGTCCCTTCTCGTTTCACAACGTCCCTTTGACCCTGGGACGTTCCCCCCAGCTCAACTTCTGTTCATCTTTGCTTTTGAAAGCCACATCCCTTCCCGTGGCAGCAGGAGCCTGCAGAATCCCACCCAAGCTGTCCAAGTTCAACTCTGAGCCACGCCAGTCAGACGATGAAGTGTCTGCTCTGATGGGAGATTGAAGCTATTGAGTGAAAGGAAAAGAACTCTTAAGTGGGCTGACTGTGAAATTGTTGGAGGAATAAAAAGTGGCAAAGGAGATGGGAAATGGGCAATCTGCTGAGTCTAAGCACCCCCAGACAAAGGGGAAACTGTTTAATAGGGTTTTAGGAAAGAGATCGACAAATGAGGGATATGGAATGAAAAAGCAAGACTTTTGAGAATATTAGCAACTGTGCCACACTTGGGTCGAGCAAACCTCATTGAGTCTGGAAACCTTGCTTCTAGGACAATTTCTGCCTTTACCTGTGTTACGTGGCATCTACATCTTGGCCATGTGGATGAGGCCAAACACATCTCTTCCCCTCCATGAGCTTCTCTTTTCTTTTCTTTTTTCTTTTTTTGATGTGACCCATTTTTAAGGTCTTTATTGAATTTGTTACAATATTGCTTCTGTTTTACGTTTTTGGTTTTTGGGCTGCGAGGCATGTGGGATCTTTAGCTCCCCGACCAGAGATCAAACCTGCACCCCTTGCACTGGAAGGTGAAGTCTTAACCACTGACCCACCAGGGAAGTCCTGAGCCTCTCTTTTCTTATTTGTAAAAGTATAGGATTAGATCAGGTCACCTTTGCAGATATTACTAAATTCTGTTATTTGGAATAATAATAGAGCTTGGATGGCTTTAAGAAAGCCCTCCTTATAAGAATCATTTTATGAAAATATTCATTTATTTTTCATTTCTAAAATTTATAGATACTCAAATTTGAAAGTTTAAAATACATTGGAAAGTGGAGAGACGAAGGAAAAAAACTCTGCAAAGACCCACCATGCATTGGTGTATTTTATTCCAATCTTCTATATGTGGTGATCTGTTGTTTAGTAAGCTGTTTCACGCACAGGACACCTTGCGGTGTGTACTATGCATTCTGTGTACTTCATGTTAATGTGATATCAAGTTCAAGTTATTGTGAACTCTTCCTGTGCACCGTTTGAAGACCGCAGAGCAGGTCATCTAGAAGCCGTGACATAATCACCAGCTCATTCCCGCAGAGATGAACATTTTATGCTATTTCTTTTCTGCCCTCTCCCGTGCCCCTACTTTACCTATCATGCTGCTTCTGCACTGCGTCCTCCAGCAGGACTGCGAGGGACGCTCTGGAACCTGGGGCAGGTCTGGCAGGCAACTGAGAGAGGTCAGTGGAGGGACTGTTTACCATGACGTGGGCAGAATTCAGAAATCGGTATGAGACGGTGACATGCCCAGGGACCAGTAACTGAGGAGAGCTGGTACCCTGCCAGGACCGAAGGGGTAGAGGAGGCTAAAGCTACTGGAGAGGAGAGGGCACCCCTGGCAGGAGGGAGCCCCCAAATTGCAGTGTGTCCATGAATCTTCCATGAAGATAACTCCTAAGGCTTTTGTCCTGCCTCTTCTTTCCACTGTGGTTCAAAACCAGCCCCGGGATTTAAGACTTATTCTAAAAAAAAAACAAGAGAAAACAAAAGGAGCTCAAGAATGAGGGCAGGGAACAGATGTGATTCTGTCCCCCCCTGCATTTCTCTCATGCTCCTTCCTTTCTCCTTTGTATTACAAGCTTCTTCTTCTCTCCACCCTCATTTATACGATGGGGCAAGGAATGGGGTTATCGTGGCAAGGATTAAATGTGAAAATAGCTGCTGCAGACAAGGTGCTTCAAGAAGGCAACCTGGCGTTTCTTAAAGGATAAATTCTAAATGAAAAGTTGGAGCGGGGACAGCAATTCTCAACACTCAGCCCTGGACCACCCACCTGATCTGTGGAATTCTACTCAGGAAATGGCATCTTACCAAGCGCTCCCATTTCTCAAGCTTGTCCAGCACAGCCAGTCTGAAAGCCACTGAGACAGAAGCCCAAAGGGGAGAGAGAGATCCTCCAAGGTGTATCTGGTGACCTCAAATGACAATAGCCGGTGATCAACAATCCTGGTTTACTCAGGACAGGGTCCCGAGAGTCAGGACTTTCAGTGCTGAAACCAGGAAAGTTCCAGGTAAATGAGCTTGAATTGCTCACCCTGACCCCAGGTCTGCCCAAAGTAACCAAGCCACTATGCCATCATGTCAAGCTACTCTCTGTTCACCATATCTTTAGGGCACCTAGAGCCTCCTCGGATCTTACCTCCTGTGACCTTCTCAAGATACACAGGGGTTGAGCTCCACCCCCTGCATTTTCCAGGTGAGGAACTGACACATCAGGAGATGTAGAGACCCATCTGAGGTAGGGTCAGAATGGGGCCAGTCCTCACTCAGGTGAGCTTCATCCTGACCCCAGCAGCACGGGCCAGTCCTCATGAGATGGTATCCTACTGATCAAGGTCATCTATGCCAAGAGGGGGTTCTCTTTCAACACACACACCAGAATGTGCAGACTCCTTGAATACAGGAGGTGCTCAATGAATAATTGTTGACTCAACAAATGGACGAATAACTCAACAAAGTCTCATGGAATATGCACAAGTGTAGTTATTTTTCTCTATCTGTCTCTCCACTAGACTGCATGCTACATGTGGGTTTGGGTCATACCTGCCTGTGTCTGACTTACTTCACTTAGTATGATAATGTCTAGGTCCAACCATGTTGCTGCAAATGGCATTATTTCATTCTTTTTTATGGTTGAGTAATATTCCATTGTGACACACACACACACACACACACACACACACACACACACACACACCACATCTTCTTTATCCATTCCTCTGTCGATGGACATTCAGGTTGTTTCCGTGTCTTGGCTATTGTAAATAGTGCTTCAATGAACATTGGGGGGCATGCATCTTCTCGAATCATGGTTTTCTCCAGATATGTGCCCAGGAGTGGGATTGCTGGATCGCCATGGCATTATAATAGTTCACCCTGATGGGAATTTCATGGAAGCCATGAAACAAAACCTTATTCCCAGACTGACTTTTCACATGTGGTCCCGGGTAGCTCTGAAGAAGTTCAGACAGAGATTCCCGCAAGGAAGAGGGGTGATCACCCCCTTCAACTGACAAATTTTTGTCCATCTCCTGGGCACAGCTGGGACATTGACTCTTGGGTGCTCATGGCAGTTGACAGCTTGTTGGAGATCCCTGAGAAAGAACCTGCTTTCAGATGCAAGGGAAATGCCCACCTCTGATGCTCCCCAAGGTTTTCCAAACAGATCTGGTCTGTTCATCCCGAAAAAGGGGTGCTGGGTCTATACCATCACCTCTATATCTTTAATCTCCATCTCTGGGAAAGCTGCTGAGACCCAGATGTCTCAGCAGAGTTGTGAACTTGAACTAATGTGACTTCTGGTTCAAAGATGATTTGAGAGAGGCAAGCCCAGTTTATGACAAGAGGTGTAGAAAGAGAGGAGCACGATCAAAGCGTTTTCAAGGAGAAAGCCAAGGAGACGTCTTCAGCCGGGTAACATGTTCTCTGAAAAGGAAGCAACTGCTGGCGTGTTCAGAGTTAGAAGATTCCCACGGATGGGACCCTTATCAGCGAGGATGGTTCTGAGCCCTCGTGATATCATGCTGCAAACACAGATGGAAGAGTAAACATGATTTCCTTCTTCCAAGGAAGGCTGGACAATTTGTGTCTTGTCGTTAAACTAAAATTGTTGTTTCGGTTTTTTAATGTTTTGTTTTGTTTTGTTTTTACATCTGGAGATACACAATGAAATTCCAGGGTAGAGCTTTTAGATTTACTTGTTCATATATTTATTTATACACTCATCAAACAGTTATGGTGCCCTCACGAAGCTATGACCAGGCACAGTCTCAGAGACATCTTTGCCAAAGACATCTTTCTTTGCTGTGAAGAAACCCAGGGCCTGTGAATAATCACAAAAGAGTGAGGCTTCTTCTTCTATAGAAGGGTGGTTTTCTTCCTGATACCGGCAGGTCCATTGTATGGTTGATTCCCTTGAGTTCTATAAAGGAAGATGAGGTGCAGTCCCTTCTGTGAGCTTGCCAGCCATACCTTTTTCACCACTTAAAATTTCTCCTATACTTGGAATTATACGAAGCCACCCTCTCCTCGGTGTCTATATTTTTGAATTCTCTGCTCCTCTCCTGAAATGCTGTTCCTTCTGAAAAATTGCTATTCATCCTTCAACACCCAGGTCACTTCCTCCATGAAGACTTTTCTGCCTTGCCTTGGTTTGGTACCCAGCTGGATGAGGGCTCACTCTGCATTATTGTTTGGCCTTTTCTCCTTGTCTCAAATGTGCTAGTATTGTGCCCCAGGTCCTTTGCACCTGTCATTCCCTCTGCTCTTGGTCATGTGCTCCATCTGAATCCTTCTGGCCTATGTTGATGTCTCAGCTAATAGGTCACATCTGTAGGGGGCTCTCCCTGTAGCCCTCTGAGAACTGGCCTGTTCTGGCTGCTACCTGAGTCTGGATTTTCCCGGGGGGTGAGGGGAAGCTTCTCACGTCGTTGAACTTGCTCCTGCTAAGATGAAGCTGTCTTTAGGCCTCCAGATATGGTATCGTTACGTCACAGGCAATAACTAAATGTGTTTTCACCTTTGCTGAGTCAAGAGCCCCTTTGAAATGTAAACACAAGATCTACCTGAAGATCAGAATTCCTGTTCCCTACACACAGGTCTCTGCTGAAAGCTCCCTTCTCTGAGCATCATTTAACTAGTACTTCATTCTAGGATTGCACCGTCTTATATATGTCTGAATACTATACATCATGTAAAAAAGTATAATAACCAGACACATAATCGGTGTCTTGAGCACCAATTTTGTCAGTCATTCTTCTAAAGAATTCCATGCATACCATCTCTGTTATGCATCATCATAGCCCTGGGAGGGAACTATGAATTTACTGGTTACATAGATCAAGGATGGCCAAACTACAGCTCCTGAGCTGAATCTGGCCCGCCACCTGCTTTAGCAAATCACATTTTCCTGGAGCACAGGCCACTCCCACTTTTGACATAATGTTTATGGATGCTTTCAAAGTACAGCCCAGAGTTGAGTAGTTGGGAAGGAGACTCAAATATTTACTCTCTGGCTTTTTAAAGAAGTGGTTTGCTAACCTCTGATATAGGTGGCAAAGCTGGGCTCAGAGAGGTTATTTACAAACTGTGCTCTGACCAAGTCCACGGCTGGGGGTTATGGCGTTGTATCCTGGGTGTCATAGCTATGCTTGGCTTCAATCTGCAATGGATGCAGAGTTTCCCATCTGTTCTTGGGACCTCAGTTTCCCCAGCTGGGAGATGAAGTGTTTGGACTTGATCCAGTGGCCCAGGCAGCATGGAGTAGATTCTGTGGCTGGAGGTCTCGGGGTCTGTGTGTTCGAAGGGCTGGGGATGGTTTAGGGGAATAAGAGGACCAAGCTGGGATTTAAGTCCAGGATGCCAAGTGAAGAACTTCACCCCAAAGGCAGCACCGCCCAGTACTGTTTGCATGTCTGTTCTTGCTGTCTGAAGGAGGGAAGTCTCTGGAATCAGAGCAACAACCATTTATAGGGCCAAGGGCTGGAGGGATGCAGGCCACTCTTGGCACTTTCTCACCGTATGCCTCCCTGCAACACTCAGGGCAATAATTCTCATCTATAAAGTGGGGCAGCGGGATCTGAGTTCTTGGTGAGTGAGGCGCCTGCTGGTCTAGCGAGCAGCTCTCACCACTGGGCAGAGCCTTGAAGCCGCCCCCGTGGATGCTGCCGTCAGCCTGCTCTGGGTCTAGCCTGGATTTAGATCCACTGTGTTCAGGATGACACAGGTCACGCCCCCACCTTTTATCTCCTTTCTCCCCCAGAGGTGGAAGTCCTTTTACTCGGCATCTGCTTCTTTAAGGAGCATTTCTTCAAAAAAATAATAAGTCCGATGCACACACATGCACACAGACACACACAAATGAGAAAAACTGGGGAAATAAGAATATGATGGGTAGATTGTATCAATTTCCTGTCTCTGGTTTGATCCATCCTCTAGTGACACAAGATATAGTCACTGGGGGAAAAACCAGGTAGAAGGAACACTGGATTTCTCTGCATTTCTTCTTACAACTGCATGTGAATTTACAATGATCTCAAAATAAAAAGTTTAATTAAAAAAATAAGTTGGTACTTACTGTATATTCCCAGGAGTTGTCATTTTTATTAAGTCAGGATATCAGTGGATAAGTCTGTTTGTCAAAGGAGTCAGTGGGACTTCGGTAGCAGGATCAACATTACATATTTATTGAAGGTTTGATTTCTGTTAATTTGGGGAGAATCATAAATCTCTTTGAGAATCTGTTAAATTCCATGAGCCCTTTCCCCGTCAATTATATACATGTGTGCGTGTGTGTGTGTGCGTGCGTGCAGCTATGTGCACACGTGGGCACCTGCATGCATGTTCACACGCTCAGATGTAGGTTACCCATGGAGTTCACTCAAGGGCCCCACAGAACAGGGAAACACGGAGCAAGGGGTACTTCTGGAGCCCTGAACAATCGGCCTGCCTTCACTTCCAAGCACGAAAGCCCTGCTTTGATCTGTTTCATATTTTGGATATTTGTTTCCGATTTCATTTGGAAAAGGATTTTCACTGCCTCAAAAACAATTTAGCATTGCCGGATATCTTGGGGAGAAAGAGCAGAGGATGAGATGCGGGGAACAGAAGGCCTGCCTCTGAGACCCAGGTCTGTGTAACTGTCATCACTGGGCTTTGATTTCCTCATCTCCAGATTGGTTTGGGGGGGCAGGTTTTGGGGTACTTCACAGGGGCACTGTGGGGATTCGGTGCCCGTCTTGCCTCCCTCACTGGGTCTGGCCTGTTGATCCTCTGGTGCTGGACAGGGCTTTGCTATTTGCCAGAGGGTGTCCGGAAGACAGGTCAGTGGGCATCTCAGAGCTGGCCCACCGGCTGCCTTTCATCTGCTCCAGAAGGAAAGCAATGATCTAGCCCAGCTCCTCTCTCTCTTTCTCTCTCTCTCTCTCTCTCTCTCTCTCTCTCTCTCTCTGCCACCAAGAAAGAAATGCTGACAAGTGGGAAGGGAAAAAGAATAACACTTGTAAAACTTTCCCTAGTCTAGGGGAATTTACTTTGAAATTTGTGCCGGATAGAGTAATTAGTAAACTTGCTCTTAATAGTGTTTCGAAGACGTAATTTTTTCACACCTTCCCTGACTTTGACACTGCGCTTTTGAAACTTCATTTTGCACTGTGCTTCATTGTTCTTTAATCTGCTACACTCTGCATTGAGTATCACGGAAATTTCGCACTTACTATGTCAATAACATCTGGCAAAATTGCCACCTATTAAGAGTAAGTGTTCTTTTTTCTCCGGTGAGAAATGTGATGGTGTATTATATTGGTTTCCCTTGAGAGGCTAAGGAGACAATTTTAAAGCAGACAAATGCATTAAAGAAATAACCTGAACTCTAAGAAAAGGTTACAGAAAGTCAGAAACTTTTTTTTTTCTTTTTCTTCTTGGGTTTATTTATTTATTTGGGGGGTGAGGGTGGGTTTTACTGCAGGGAGACACCTCTCTGATCTCTCCTTTGGGACAGTGTTTCTCCACACAGCTCCTACTCTAAATCGGAGACCTTTTGCACCAAGCCTTTGCAGGCCTTTGCAGTTAAGGGTGCCAGGACCCTGGACCCCCGGGCTACAGTGAAAGAGCTGTGCCGAGCACCCTGACTGGGCTCCACCACCCAGTAGCTGTGTGTTGTTGGGCAACTCACTGAACTTGAAGACCCTCGGTCTCTTCTTATGGGCAA